TTCTGGTTCAGCCAGGACATGTACATCTCGCACTCTGGGCGGTCCATCGCCCGTCGCGTTCGGCCCCGTCTTATAAAATAATTAAGTCTTAGCCTCTATTTGTCCCTTTTGTCCGTCGGCGGTTTGTCTGTTATTCGAGTGGCTGTTGTGCGTGCGCATCCTAGCGAAATTAAGGACTTTAGCGCGATTTTCGCTATGTTTGCTGCCGCCTTTGTTTGTTCGCCGACACAGGCAGCTCCCGTTAAATTTGAAACTTTTACTTTCCATTCACCGCCATTCAGCCAGTTTCGCATTATTCTATTTTTCCTGCGCTGAAATCAACTGTAAGTTAATCGCATTAATCCGCGATCGTCTTTCAAGTGGATACTCTGCGATCCTTTTGCCGTTGGAAAATCACAAAAGGGTGCTGAGGGTAAGAATGAAGGGTTCGCCATTCATGCGATCATCAACTGACAGAATTTTTAAAGGTTCCGCTGATAAAATGTCTATATTATGCTAATTTAATGTGAGTATGTGTCGTATGCGTAATTTTTTAAAAGAAATGTTAAGTAAATGTTTAAATATTCAAATATTATGTTGTTTACTATTTAAAATCCTTTATGCTGAATAATATGATAATAAATATGACACCATTTTAACCCTTTGTTAAGCCCAAATCGAAGTGTACTTGCTTCTGTGAAAATCCAAGATTTATTTGTAATGACTTTTTTCATTCCAAAATACTGTAACTGGTACTCTGGCTATTTGCTTTGTTCTTTTATTGCCCCCTTCGGGCTGCACAAATTAGGCCAATAATTTAGCTGTCAATTTTGCAACGCAAACGTATCAGATTCAAGGGCTGTCCTTGAGGCTAACAACGCTTCTTGGCCATTGATTTTGCCGGCGAGAAGGATTCAATTCGCCCAACAATCGTAGCCGGCTCGTTTTGTCCTACCGTCTCCCTCTCCAAGTGTATCCTTCATTTTTATTTGGCCGCCAATCCGCATCTGTGCGGATGCCTACTGCAAATTCCCCCACTCCGGCCCTTTGCATCGATTCCCTCTGCAAATTGGTAATTTTATACGGTTGGCGGTGCCTGTGCTCGCTCAGTTGTTCCTGCTTAATGGCGGTCTCATGATTGTTCATAACACAAAATATTTGTTTGAAATTGTCGGACGCACTTGTTAGTTAATTAAACCAAGTAATACGAGCAGGATCAATGGGAATTGTTGGATGTTTTTACAGCAGTGCCGTTCGAAAACACTAATTATTGATTTTCTTAGGTGGTTACGTTTAAGTTTTTGATTTCGGTAAGTTATTTGATATTGGCTTGTATATTTTAAATATATCAAAGGGTATATTTTTTTCGAATATATATTTTATTGCTAGAGTTTTTAAGACTTTTATTTCTATTTTTAGAACCCTCAAAATGCAATCTTCTTAAATTTATGCGCCCACAAATGGTACTCAATCAACGAGGCCAAAAGGATATGTCCAACAGTGGTACAGAGTGGGGGAGTTAGGTAACATAAGAAACGCACAAGGAAATCGGAACGTAAGCGGAAACGCAAACTGTTGAACTGTTGAAATCATAAAATATTACCGTTCGCAATACAATTTATTTAAATCAAAGTCTAAAGCGTTATTTACGAGCACTGTGGGCTTGAATGGGTTCGTTTTGGGTTGGAAATCGAGGGTGTGGGAGGGTGGATCGATGGGTTTTGGGGGTTCGCGTGTGCTCTTTCATACTTTCATTCCCGCCATTGTTTGCATTCTGAAAGAAGACAAAAGCCAAGCCCCCAAAAGCGAAGGAAAAGCGCGTCACACAAATTTGCCTGACTAATAGCCGCAAATAGCCGAAAGGATGATAATGATGTGATGGGTGGTCAGCATAGCTATGCTATGTATGGGGGATATAGACAGGCGACCGAGGACTACAACTCCATTTGCTTTTAACCATTCCATTCCGTTCTCCACGCTTATTGTTTTGCCATGCTTTCTGCCTATTATACAAAATGCTACAACAGACAAAAGCCTTCCCCATTTGCCTAATGTGTTTGTGTGCGAGTTGGAAAATCGAAATTCGGAAATTCCGAAATTGAAATGGAGTGTGTCTCGGGAATTTAGCTGGAATAATGTTAGTTTTTGTTTGACTACCTTCAATTGCCAAATTAATTGCAGTTAAGTCGAGCAAGCTAAGCCCAGCTTGTCTCGTCCTCTCTTTCCCTGACACTCTCCCCCTCTTTTTATCATGCAAACTTTGGTTTATGTATGTGTTTGTGTGTGGGTGAGTGTGCAACGTAAAGTGGAGTCAATGAAAATTGCAACTCCCACTTTGCTCGTATGTCAATTAGACCTCCTCGCCCTCCAATCTCTTCTTCTCTCTCCTTTCGCTCACACACTCTGCCAGCGGCTCTTGGCTTTCTTCTTCTTCTCTCTTCCTCCCACTATACCCGTCTCTTTCCAGTGCAGCTTTAGGTCCTTTATTGCAGTGCAATTTGTTGTAGAAATCGTTTTGTCCGACAGTTGAACAGTTTGTTATTTCTTTTAAATGTTCCGAAGCAAAAGAGCTTTTCCGAATTTTTGTGGCTTGCCTTGGGCAGCGTTCAGGCATGGAGATTAATGGGTTCATTCATCTTATTCCCCCTATATTCTACATTACACATACAAAAATCTCGAAATGTCTTACTTTATTTTTATCTGGAATGTGCTATCAATAAACTTCAAGCCAACATAATTCTGATAAATTTTTTTTTTTGAAAAATGTTACCTAATATAGATTATATTATAAAAGATTGACTTCGAAATACTATTCTACCTAAACGCACCAACGTGGAAATTAGCAAATCGAGTTTTCAAACAAATTTGTTTTAAAAAAAGAAAGGGTCGTTACATTTTTTAGTGTAACCTTAAGTTAACCCCATTGCTTGGCATTTCCCATTTGGCCAAATGAATGCAATCAAATCCGAGTTGAAATTTCCCCGAGAATAGAGCAAGGCGCAAATGAAATCATCTGGAGGTGCTGAATAAACGCAATTTCCATTTGTGAATTGAGATTGAAATGAAAGTGGGGCAGCGCCTAAGTGTTACTATTTTTGAAACCGTCGACGTTGCCGCATTTCGCCCAATTCCCCACACCATTGTGCCTTAAATAAGCCCCAACCCCCAACGATATTTTTATACCCCCCAATCTCACTCTAAAGTCTTACACGAAAACGAATCAAAAACAAGCAATGCACAGAGGGAAATTACGGGAAAATGTGTTACGGACGCAGGTGATGGCTCCACCATCAGACACACACACATACACACCTCCATTGGGAAAATAGGGGGTGGTGGGTGGAAAGTAGGGGGTGTTGCCATGCCCCAGCACTTGGAGACGCACTTTGGCAAAAGCAATCTTCTAAACAGGATAAATGTAATTGCGCATGAATTTCTACGCATATTTCGGCGTCGCTGTCTGAGCTGCAAATGTTTGTTACCCATTTGTTTCCTTTTTTTGCCCCGTTTTGCCGTCGCTGAAAAACGTTCTCCGGCATTTGAGGAGCGGCCACCCCATTGGCCCTCCGCTGGCCACGCCCCCAAAGAGAGCGCCTCTCTCGAACGGTCTCGCCATCTCTCTCTCGACGGGTAATTGACTCGCATAATGTTTGTTTTGTTTCGGCCAAATCGTTTGCAACACTCTTTGAATGCCTCGTGGTTGTCTCATAAAAAGCGAAAGCATTTAAAATTTCAATTTGCCCTCTCTCTCTCTCTCCTTTCTTTCTCTCTTTCTCTCTCTGCAAAGCTTGCAGAGTTCCTTGGCAAAAATGGCCGCCTGCAACGGTGCTTAGGGGAGGGTTTCTCTTTGGGGAGCGGAACATTGTGGGATGGAACACGCTATAAGGTATAAAGCTCTAGAGATTAAAAACAAAAAAGTTAAAGTTTGGGTGTTTTGAAAGATAAGGATAATGATTCTAAATTTAGGAAAATATTTGTATATAATATAATTTAAAAAAATAAAGAAATATTTTTTTAATATTTAATGAACTCACTAGGTAATAATGAACTTGCAGGTTTTACAACAAACGCCTTGTTGTCAAAAAGTATGCTACATAAATGTTTATTTTACAATTAATGTATGATTTATAGTTCTCACGTTTTAAAGAAGTTTTTCTATAGCCTTTATTTGTTCGAGATATACAAATTTTAATTGCTACTATATTTACAAATATTTTGTAGATATATATATATATATGTATATATAAACATGTTTTTTGTGTATTGCTCCATCACTTGTCCATTAAATCATTTTTTTATTGTAATATTTTAAAAACTTAATTGTTTATTATTGTATTCACTTAACCCTCTCACAAAAGGCTCTCACAAATCTCAACCTGACCGACTGTTAACCGCAAAGTTGCAATCAACTGGTACATTTTCGCCAACACTTTTCTGGTCGAAAAAGTTTTCATCTGGCTGGGAAATTTCAATGGCGCCACAGAGCAACACTTGACCCCTGTTAGGTGGCAATTGATTGATTTTATATTGGCATTTCAATAGACACCAGCCGAGCAAAGCGATTCGAGTCGATTTTGCGAGTCGAGCCGAGTGGCGTTGAGTGTGCCCCCACTTTAGATGCGTTCCAAATGCCAAGTGTTTCCCGTCCGGGGGTGGAAAACTTCCCCAACCTTACGCCGCAAAAAAAAACAAATGAGGAAAATCCGAAAAGTGTCTGTCGATGCGGTTGCAGTGCAATTGTCGAAATAAACGAAAAGAAATTTCAAACTGCAAATGGAATGGAAAAGAGCGGCCAGAACGGGAGGCCACACCAGGCGGCGAAAGAGAGAGGGCCAACGCTGTAGAGATAGAGAGAGAGAGAGAGAGAGAGAGTGGGACACACCCTCCCAAGAGGGGTAGAAAGCAGGTGAGTGTGTGTGTGTAAGCTCGAGAGTGTGGAAAACCATTTAGCGCAAAGACCAAAAGAATTTGCAGGGCTGCCAGCCAACCACCTCAGTCTCAGTTTCAGTTCCATGCTCTCCGGACACGAGACCGGGGGTTAAAAATCCAGAGACTGAAACAATAAAAACACTAAACGATCGCTTTCCCACACACACACACACAAACACACAAAGGACGAAGGACTCAGCACTCAGAACTCAGCAATCCGGCGAGGACTTGTGCGTCTGTTAACAGCCGCATTTGAATTTAAATGCGAAACGTTGATCAAACGGTGCAGACGTGTTTTTCCCAACGGTAGCGCTCGGCGTTTTCCCCTAACGAGTTTTTCGTGCCACGAATCAAGTGAAGAAAGTTGTACAAATTTTATAACAAAAATAAATAGAAAACACAACAGTGAAAAGTAAAGAACAAAAGTGCTTCAGCAAATACAAGAACTTGCTAAAAAAAAAAAAGAGAAAATCAAAAGACATGTCTTCCTCCGAGGCCGAAGTTGACATCAGTGTGGTCTCCAGTCCGGAGCCGAGTCCATTGGGCGCCGCCGCCCGCGACAGTCCGCTGCTGGCCCGCTCGCCGGCCCGCTCCGCCGACGGCAGTTCGCCGCCCGCCACGCCCACGCATCGCTCCAATACGCCCAACACAGCCGCCGGTACGCCCACCACCTCCACATCGGGCGGCAATCACTTCCATCACAGTCCCAGCGGAGGAGCCGTGCCGCCGGCGGTGTTGCACCACCACCTGCAGCACCATCTGAGCAGTCTTGGCGGTCATCCGGTGGCCCTGCATCATGCGCTCCACACTTTTGGCCACTTGCATCCCGCCCACGGGGCCACACATCCCGCCCTGCTGCAACACGCCCTCACGCCCACCAGCCAGCAGCAGCAGCAGCAACAGTTGCAGGTGCAGCAGCAACACCAAACGCATGTCGAGCGCCTAAGTCCGCCGCCCAAGAGTCCGGAGCGGAATGGCGGTGAGGAGTTGCAGGGCCATCTCAGCCTCAACAACAACAACAGCAAGGCCCTCAATCACAACAACACTTGCGCCTCGGCCGCTGCAGCAGCAGCAGCGGCGGCGGTGGCCGCGGCCAACCTGAGCAACAACAGCAACGATAGCAACGGGAGCAGCGGTGGTGGCGGCAAGGGCACCACCGGATCGAACGGATTCACCAGCTTCTCCATCTCCAGCATCCTGAGTCGCAGCGAGCCGGCCAAGAAGAACGGAGCCGCCGGCCTTATAACTCCGATCCCTCAGCTTCCTCAACCAGGATCCGGCGGACCACAGGATGCGGCAATGCTATCCAGGTAAGCAAATCTAATCCATGGTTTCAAGGGGGAAACTTCATAAGGCGGATAGGTGATTTTTATTTTGAGTGTTTCTAAACAGTGCTACGTGTGTTGAACGTCTTATTAACAAAAGAAGATACCTTGAATATATTTAAAATTGAATAAGAACTCTAAACTTTGAAAATATACGTACAATATACTATAAATTTGATTTTCGAGTGAAACTGTCTTTTTCCTCCCTTTTTTTATTTGCAGGACCTAAGCTTTTAATCCCAATTAATTTTTTGCGCTGACGTTTGCCTTAAAAGATATTTCTATTTGTACCAAAGTTTTTAACAAAATTAAGCCTGTTTGTGTGGATTTTTTTTTTAAACAATTTGTTTTATTCTTTGAAGTCAATATTTGTTTTTTTGCATAAAACTATTAGGTGTTTTGGAAATTGGAAGCTCAAGATTTGCAGTTAGAAATACTTTTTATCTAACAATTACTTTATATGTTGAAACGATTTAAATGCTGCAATGACCAGTTTTGGTTTATGTTAAGGGCAGTTTACATCAGGTTCAAAGAGATCTTAAAATAATAAATAAGAATTATAAAAAAGAATGGCTTGTTTTTCAATCCATATTCACTTTTTAAAGAATAATCTAAACAGGCAATCTTTTGTACATATACATTTTTGTACCCATTTATTTCTCAGTGTAGACGACCCAGATTAATACGTTCGTTGGCAAGCTGAAACCAAAAAGTCAAGCCTTCCCTCAATATGCCCAAAGAGGCTGCCATTCCACTTGTTCAACCTCGGGTTGGGCCAATTTTATATAATCGTCCTAGGGGAAGACAAAGGAAGGTGACACAAATCTCTTCGCAGGAAATACACAAAAAGAAGAGAGGGACGGACAAAGTAGCCGGGAGATGGTCGATAAGACCGAAAATTGTTGGGCAAACGTTACACGAGACATTAAGTGGGTGAAGATGCAAATGGCTAAAGTACCAGTCCTTTGTCCCTAACGATTCCAGACAGATAAAACCGATGGAATAGTGTTCAGTTGCATTGGGCACTAGCTGACCTCGAATTTATGCAGAAACATGCCTAACTGCTCGGGGTAATCATTTTTGGCCCAACAATTTGGTCAGCCTATCGAGTTACATAACATTTGCTGGATGTAATTCAATGCACCGTTTCGGGAATAAAAGTAACTGACTGAATGCCTGATGGACGGACTGACAATGCTCCAGTATCGTATGCAAAACGATGAATGAACCCTCAGACCCTCCAAACTGACCCATAAAACAGGAACGTTCTTACAGCTGTTTGACCTGCAATTGCAACCTATTGATACGAAATATGCACTGGGAAAAAACGAAATCTGTAAACTGGTTTACAACGTTATATATGTATAGGCTTGGCAAACATAATTTATTAGAATTATTATCACACAAGAGACTTAAAAAAAACAGTTTGGAAATATGGGTTATCTTTAAAAGTCGTAATATACTTAAATATCATTTTATGTCCGAAACAGTTGTATGAAAGAGTATCCAAAAATTTTACTTTTTGATTTTTAAATCAGCTTAAAACGCATATCTGATTATTTATTCTGCAATGCTTTATAAAAAAAGTTATAAAATTATCCTTTTAGACAAAATTAGCTAATTGAAATATAAGATTTTGAAATAAAGATTATTTTAAATTATAATTCATTTGAATTCGTTTTGCTCTCCAATTCCTTAATTCCTTAATTGCTTTATTTGCTCTTTTAATTAAACTTAAATCGGTTATTTTTATCAATTCATACACATGTGTTTGTTTTCTGTGCATTTCATATTATACATATTAGCCCCACTTAGCCGGCTTTTAAAATGCTGAATACGGAATGAGCGATCGAATTTCCAGCCAGCTTGATTAACGCATGTGTTGAATTAAAAAACAACGAAAAGAATTTATAAGTTGCACTTTTATTTTATGAGAGGGGGACTCCCCCAGACGTTTTAGACCTCCGTACGTTTTTTAATAATGATCATTTTCATTTCATTTACGCGTGCCCGCGCCGCTGATCGCATCGATAAGGGAAGTTAGTCAGGTTGGCCGAGGGTCGCTACTGTCCCTATCTACTCGACTGTGCCCCGTGTCCTGTGCGTGGTTACCCCAATTAAGGACCTCGCCCTCGTGGAAGTGTCGTCTCCTGCTGCTTGGCGCTATCCCAGCTGACGTGTGGCTGCCTATGTGACTGGTTTATCAGTTGATCATCAGGCTGAATGATTAATGCCAGGGGGTATACAAATATCGCTGAGTGATCGTTTAATAGTTTGAGCCGACTTTCTACCCAAATTCAGCTTATTTTGACAGTTGCGCTTACGTTTTTAATTAGTCGCTGGGCTTTCTCCACAGTCTGTACTTAATTACGACTCAGTCGGTTGAGGGGATTTCGAAAAGTGGGAGACCAGGAAAAAACCATTCAAGAGGTGTAACTCGATATGCTTGTGAGTGGACTGGAAACAATGGGACGGCGAACGGAAAGGGTGCTTCTGCATTGTCCTTTTCTCCCAGGATGACGCAAAAAGCAGACGATGACATTATAATTACACACACACACTCACAGAGAGAGCTATATAAACCCTGAAGTAATTACAATCCAATTGCAATCGCAATTGAGGACCTAACCAATCCCATAATATATCTCTCCATCTGTATCTGATTCCGGCACTGAGGGGATTAACGTTTAGTGGTGAAATGCCTTTGATTCCTTATCGCGATGGTGTGGTGGGAATTTCTATGGTAGCAATTTAATCAAAACATATTCCGCAGACTACCAAATGCATTCAATCTGAATCTGAGGCTTGACTTTATCTCTGTTCTCTGCTCGGTGGTCACGTGTCATTTCGCGGGGCTTCCCATGGTGGTAAATCGCCAAAAAAAAAGACAAAAACTAATACCATGCTCTTCACAAATGTCACCATTTTTGGTTATTTTTCATTTAGCTGTCTCAGAACTGTGGGATATATCCTAAGCCGCTCCCCAGGCACTGAAATATTGCTAACAATCCCGTTTAATGACAAAAGCAAAGTTCGCTGCCCATTCATGTGTTTAATATTTTGCCTACTTTTGCGGCCAGGTCGAGAACCCCTCGAAAACCCGCACCGCTAAATGTCAACAATGTAAAATAAATTCCTGGGCTCGAGGGGGAAATAGGGGAAAGGGAGAGTCCCGCACGGGATGGACCAATTAGCGTGAGCAAATCTTTTATGCATGAGCGATTTCTAAGCGGTTTTAGGGCTCACAGATCGCTAGGTTTCCCATTTAAATATATATTTATTTAAATCAATTTCGTTAATGCGACAATTGTCGAATATAAAGTGCGGGTAATGCTATTTGAATTGGTTAATTCCAGTCATTGCCGCAGTTTACTAAACTTAACCCCAGCCATTCAGTCACATTACTTTGAACTTTGCTTAGATATCAGCACAAAGAAAACCCAACATATAGCTCGGGGACATCAAAGCGGAGACAATCCTCCCCCCAAAATAAAACTGAGACCCAACCAGAAACCGATGTCGAACGCCATGTTAAACAACTCAATTGCATAGCCCACTTTTATCCCTCGGACAAAGGGATCCCAAGACGAGAAATTATGATGGGCGAGTCGGCAAAAGGAGCCCAAAGCGAGAACCGCAAACAATTCATTAAAAGCTGAATTACAAATGCATCAACCCCCCATTTTCCCATCATTTGACAGCCTGGGGTGATGGGGGTCCGGGCTCTAAAATGGGCCAGGCGCACCCACTTTTAAAACATGGCCGTCCGCTTCCGCCGCAGAATGACACCAATGGAGATGGGCGTGGAAATGAATACCCAGCTGTCCGCGGTTTGCCGTGGGCAAATTTATTTTGTATTTATTTCATTATCCGCGTCAAGCTCTTGATTTGCGTAATTAGCTGAGCAAATAGCTACAAGCTTTTGTTTTGATTTTTCATGTCGACCATCGTCGTACAAAATTAGCCCAGTAATTGAGGTAATTTCTTTTGTCCTTTTTTTCTTCTTGCCTGAGGAGCTGAGAAGCTGTATTCATTTGGGGGGAAAACAGTTAGGCTTAAAAAAAGATTTTTCGGAATTAATAATTTTTTGTTGAATTGTGAGACTATGAATAGCATATACTTTTAAGAGCCTTCTGAGATTAATTGATTTATTCCCCTTATTGATTTTGTTTGATAATAAATAATATTAAAATAATTACCCAATCTGAAATTAAGCAACCAGTACACAAAAGTACCTTTATAAAATGTGTAAATATTTTTTTAACTTTACATTATTCAATACATCAATACCGGAATCTTGATTTTGAGGTTCGTATTTCTTAGCGTGGTTGTAACTTGAGAGGAGTTCTTCCTATTTTTGTCTTTTTGTGGCGGTTTGGGGTCTGGCTTCTGGCTGCCTCCAAACTAGCCGAAAGCCAAAGCGGCTTTCTCTCAATTGCCGCTGTAAACATGAAGCCCATTAGAAGTGATTTGAGCTGGCAACTTGGGGAAGCCCCTGAAGAGTCCTCCTCATAATTTTCCGGGCCGGGCTGAAAGTAAACTTAATTGAAAATCATTACTGCTGGGAAGTGGAATTGGAAGTGGGAATCGGCGCAGAGAGCGACAGTGGCTCTGGCCCACCTGGCTATTGATTTCCACACCTGATGCACCCTTGGCCGCAGGGAAAGAGGTCAACTAAATGTTAATGTCACACACACGAGCACACACACAGTGTCTGTCTGAGGGCGTTGGGTTGCAGTTGCAAATGCACCCTCGAAAAGAAATCACAGTCTGCGCACGGGTCACCTGCCCAAAGGGTCAAAGTTTGTTGGGAAAGCTTAGTCCGCCCAACTGCCCGGCGAAAAGCGAAATGCAAAATGCGAAAGCAAAACGAGCTCAAGGGGCAGGCAACTATAGTATTCCATTCCAAACCATAAAGTGCCAACTGGCATTTTAGAACGGTGAGAATGCATTTCGTGCGGCTTACATTTAACACCAAAGTTCAGTGGGTGCGTGGGAAGCTTAAAGACGGTAAATAAAAAACCAATGAATCAATCAGAATAGAGAGACAAAAGCAACTTTGGCCAATTACATTTGGACTGTTTTGACATGTCAAAACAACAGCCTGGCTACATCCACCCCAAAAAAACTCAATAACTCAACTCGTCAGTAAGAATATACATACAACGCATTAGAACGTCTTGCCAGCATAAATAAATAAAATGTATTTATAAAAGATGCTTTTAAGCCAGAAAGTTAACAAAGTTACACACTCATCCACAGGGAGAAAAACGAAAGCACACATCATTGCTCATTTCAAACCGTTTTATTCAGAAAATTATATTACATTATAAAAATTGTCTACTAAAATATTCTTTACGAAATGAATCATTGCCTAATCTAATAACCTTTTTGATTGGAACGGATTAGTATATTTTTAAATTGGATCATTTAGATTCAACATGCTTATGTGATAAGTTTAATCATATTAAAGATGTTTACTTAGAGTACCAAATTTTCTTAGAACCTGAGTATTTGTTTTTGCAGTGCATATTTCTATATATGTATATATATTCAGAAGGGAGGGTTAAATGGGCCAAATTCTTAACAGCTGTTGTCAGTTACGGGGTTGTTAAGGGTCGCCAGCCTCCTTGATTTTTCCTCCATCCCCTCCGGAGAACTTTGATGCTTCAACTTTCTTGGGCTGAACAACTTTTGGCCGTCGGCAAAATGGCAAATGCCTAATGGCCTCTTAAGTTCGGCCCGCATCTTGGAGGGGGCTCTTTCACGTCTTGATTTTCGCGCAATCATCAGAATGCATAATTGATGGCGTTATTAACCAATATTTTTCCCTTCTCCTTGCAGACTGGGTTTCATCTCGCAGTGGGGAGCGTTGGCGGGTCGCTATGCCGCCCTGTGTCCGCCCGGATGGCCCTGGGCCCCCCAGCGACTGCCCTTCCACAGTCCCACTCATGGTAAGTTGATTAAAAATAGCCAACGGAGTTACCGACTTTTCCCCATTCAAATTACGACGACTCAACTGAACCGAACTGAACACATGCCACAGCGGCTTAGCACTCGTTGCATCCGCCTTTTTATTTACGCCAGGAATTTGATGTGTCAGACATTCCTCACAGTTCACTAGACAAAAAAAATATATGTTAAAATTGTTTAACGTTTGCGTCAAGTAATTCTAGTTTTTTATAAAAAACCCAAGGTATAATATTTTAAGCGTATTTTTACTATTCATTTACTGACGCTGTCCGATAATATAAATAATAGCAAAAATATGTAATCGTAATATTACCTATTACAGAATACAAAGTAAAGATTGCTCATATGTAGTTATGACCCTAATTTGCGTATTTGGATGTGATTTTTTGTTTGATTTCTATTAATTATTTTAAAGATCCGAAGATTTTCTGTGAGTGTTCTGGAATTTCGACTTAAAGTTAATTTGTTTAGTCGACGACTGCGACTAATGCCTCAAAGAATTTCGCCCCAGAAGCAGACTAGGCAAATGTCTTAAGCTGTCACCAACACAGGCATGAAATGGAAGCCAAGTGAGACGACTGCTTTAATCGTCATTTGCAATTAATTGCAAATTGTAATCGAGTATCGAGTTACGGACAAAGCGTTTCATGTGTTTCGCAGCGAGTTGCACATGCCACTGCAACTGCATCAGCAGGGAGTACCGCTTAAGCCCGTTTAATTGGCCCCTTTGGCATTAAGAGTGAATGCAATTGCATTTGTTCATGTAAATTGGCCTTAAGTTCTTCACCTTTTCTGCCAATCCAACTGCCGCATCTATGTATATCTCTCATTACGGATAGTTGAGTTTCCGAGTGAAAGTTTTCCAGCCAGCGTGCTATTAAGAGGTTTATTTTTTTTCTGAACCCCAAAATCCATTCAAGGCAAATTACGGCAATTTAAACTTTTCAAATGAGATCAAAACTAAAAGCTTCGATAAAAAGAAAATCGGCCAAGCTGACTGACAGCCATTTTAAATGGTAATTTAATGCGCAGACAGAGCAGGGATTGCTATGCTGTATTATACCATCAGTATGGGTGTATTTATATGTATATACTCTCGGCGTCTGCGCTTTAGGAACCCCCAGCAATCACGAATGACACAAAAAATAAAAAGACTGGGGCGACAAGTGTGAGGTTAAGTGTTGCAGCTTAAATCTCTGCAGAGGCGCACACACAGATACAGCTACAGATACGGATACAGAGATACAGTATCTTGGAGCAGCCACAGCAACCCTTAGGAGGAACCACCCCAAAACCACCCACCGAGACTGACAAATCAACTAATACAATTTAAGCTCTCTGCCCGGCTCTCTTTCTAATGGTTTCTCTCCCGCTCTTCTCTCTTCTTGCAGACAGTTCCTCCACGAACACGACCGAGAATCCGCCATCGCCCACTTCCATGAGCCCGAATCACAACAACAACAATAGCAACAACACTGCCAACTCAAACCAGGCCAGCAAATCGCCCTCGCACCACCCACTCCACCCCCTCTACCACCCCCACAACTCGCAGCAGCAGCAGCAGCACCAACAGCAGCAGCAGCAACAGCATCCACAGCAGCAACAGCATCCACAGCAGCAGCAACAGCATCCACATCAGCCCACCACGCCCACCAGCAGCAGCAGCAGCGGAGGCGGCAGCAGTCTGGCCCACCATCCGCATCCGCATCTGGCGGGCTCACATGGCGGCTACTTGCTGCCCAGCAGTTCCAACGAGTCGGACGAGGAGGGCGAGGAGATCATCGAGGAGGATGACGGCACGGATGGACCCTCCGACAGCTCCTCGCCACATGGCGATGGCAACTCGAAGCGCAAGAAGAAGACCAGGACTGTGTTCTCGCGAGCCCAGGTCTTCCAGCTGGAGTCGACCTTCGATCTGAAGCGCTACCTCAGCTCCTCGGAGCGGGCGGGTCTGGCTGCCTCGCTGCGTCTGACCGAAACGCAGGTGAAGATCTGGTTCCAGAATCGCCGCAATAAGTGGAAGCGTCAGTTGGCCGCCGAGCTGGAGGCCGCCAATATGGCCAATATGGCACATGCGGCACAGAGATTGGTGCGTGTGCCGGTGCTCTACCATGATGGCACCACCGCTGGATTTGTGCCGCCACCACCGCCGCACCACCACCCCATGCAGTACTATGCGGCGGCACGCAACACCAGCCCCCCGCGACCGCCCCTCTCGTCGCTGGTATAGGGCGTGGGGTGCCTGGCGGCGCCCATGTCGCTGCTGAAGCCGCCCACCACCATGCCACATCCACACCCACACCCACATCCGCCGCAGCTCATGCAACGCCCCTTCTTGGGCTGCGAACCCATGACAGAGGCGGACGCGGACATGGACTCCGATTCGGAGCAGGAGCGAACGCACCTCGACGACGAGGATGCCGCCATCGATGTGGAGGCGGACGAGGAGCAGGAATCCGGATCGTCAGCCCCATCGGCCACGCCCTCGAAGAGCAGTCTTTGCCTGGAAAGCAAGGAGAATGCTGGCCAGCACAAGGAGGTCACTGCTGCCGCCGTGGACAAGTCCGCTAACCAAAAGGCCTACTGAGCCAAATCCAACCAAGTGGCTGCACGGAGAAGAATACATTCCAAAAGCGGGATTCTCAAAAGATATTACCTCAAAAGGAGTCAAGTTGTTTCATTTGCATATTACAATTTGAAAATATTTAGGAAATCTCTCAAGATCCTGATCCAATTTGCAGTACTTTGGTGGCTAAATCAACCGCAATTCGGAAATATTGAAAGGGATTGAATTCTCCACTCCGTGCAAGACCGCATCAATTGGTTTCAAGTTTTTATGATAGTTTGTTCCTAAAAACCCATGTAAATACCAACAACTCAAGATCCTTGTACATTTAAATGTCTCTTGCTCAATAAGTTTAGGCTTTAAAATACCCCACGCCATGTACATAAACCGATCACAAGTGGATAGTGCGGGGTGCTTGAATTTTCGTAACGTTTTGGTTTGGCTTTTGAATCTTTAAATTGCTGGTCAAGTGTAAGTTAAGTTCGATATGCTAAGCCGAGCTCCCTAAGGACCAAGGCAATCAATGTTAGTTTAGTGCTAATCGTAAGATGTGTGTCAAGCAATTACCAAATAATTAGTTAAATTATTTATATTTTTAATCGAATGTTAACATAATCCAAACTTCAACTGAAACCAAACCAAACTCATAAACGTACACTCACACACATTCACAGACATGAAATGCTTATAAATATACAAATAACAAATTATACATATAAAGATATTAATAAATTATATAAACATTTAGAAAAACCAAAATAAAAAGAGTTTGTTTATTTAATACTTTAAGCTCTTAATTGGATTCATTACTTTTATTAATTTTTTTTGGTGGAGTTAATAATATTTACTAGTCGCTTTTTGATAATACTATTTGTGGTTATTGTTTCAATCTTTCCCTTGATTATAGCGTTGAAAAAGCTGTGCCAATATAAGTAAATATTTGTTTATACTCCTGGACTGAAGTTAAATGAAAGCGAATACTTTCCTGTTCCAGTTTAAAAACGATCCCAACTTTTTTTTGTGCCGACGCAGTCGACCTTTTGCCAGCATCTGTCCACATATATTGTCTATGTATCTGTATCGAATCATGTGCCCAGCTCTCATCCTCGTATCTATTCGTTGAATGGCAATTTGCCGGCATTTGATACAAATGTTTTTCCACGGATTTATCCTGACTATTTTGCCTTCGCCTGAATGCGACGACAAGCGCTTATTTACGTTTAATTGCCAACGCAAATAAACCCATACATATACGTATGTAGACCCGGCTATAACAATGCCGGCAACAGCTTTTGCCACAATTGCTGCAATGCATGTTGGTGCTTTTTGTTTTTGTTATTACTTGCATTGCAGGCGTTTTAAGTTGCCATTTATTGTGCAGTTTGTTGCAATTTAGTCGCGTCGAGCCCCCATTTCCTGGCCCTCTGGGTCCTTGGGGCCGTTTCGAGGTTCGAGTTTCGAGTTTCGCTCTGCACTTCGCATCGCGTGTTAAATTGCAAAAATAAATTGCGAATTGTGCGGTGCAAATAAATGGCAATAAAAATGCATAAAATGTTTTTTTTCGCTATGCCTAACAAGCGGCGGCGAGCTTGAATTACCAAACGCTGGCATAACTGTGATTCCGTAGATATAGATGGGCCCAAACGCATATATACTCGTATGTACATACGTGCATAAGTGCATAATTATAGGCGATTGTGTGGAGTGTTGCATTTCACACGACTGCGCATAAATGGAGGGCGTGAAAATGTTTTTATTGTACGAATAAATATATGCCCGTTTGATGCGCTTATTTTGCAGCCAATCGTTTGTTGATTGGCTTGTATTTTATCTGGCTGGTAAAATACTGGCCGAAGGCCGGATTTGGCCAGCACTTTAAGGATTGCTTATTTCTGAGAATTGTGTAATCAAACGTTGGCAATTCGAGATCGGATAAAGCTGATGGTCTCGGGGATTAGGCCTTCCATTTTCGTCCTCAAAATGAATTTCACCACAATGGGACCGGGGCATTGTCCATTGGCCCTCTGTTAAAAGCCCAAAAAAAAAGGGGTTCAGCCTTGCTATTTTTCTTTCCAGCATTTTTTGTGCAAGCCAACTGAACAAATTAGGCAACCTTTTATTCACCATTCCTCCTGCCATCGGATGCTCCTCGCAACATTTTTGTGTGGATGCAGTCAAGTGCTTGAGCATTTTATTTAAGCGCATGAATGGATTTGATGGCTTTCCTTGGCTGAATGTAAATGTGCCCGAAAAACGAGCAGAGCGAAAAAATATTTCAATTCATCTCATAAAATGCCTCAAAATTGTAGCGAAATTATAAAAATTGCCTGCCCCCAGACAACGAGCACTTTGGTTGGCTGCTTTTTGGCTGCTTTCCATGAATGCAGCCTCGCTTTTCGCTGGTCCTTTTGGGCCACATTTGCTCATATGTAAAGTGAATTGTTTGGCCGGATTTGTGGAGTCAGTGTGAGTGGCTGGCTGGATTATGAGATCGCCCTTTTTTTGTACGGTAGTGAAACGATGCTATCAAAGTCATATCAGTTATACGACTACGATAGTTTGATTTTATTTGGCATAAGTTACAAATTTTTAATTTAAAAGACAAATCATGACATATTCTTATTTATATTTAGTTTCATATGCATTTTCAAATACAGTTTTAGAATTTATTAAAATAAGAATTCAATCTTCTATAAGTTCCAACTTCTTAAATACAAATCTTGTCTATTTGAAACTTAAAATAGGAGAACAACATCACAAACCACTTTAAAAACATTTTATGAATAACTAAGGTGGTGAACATTTTTTGTAGGCTATTACGTATTCGACTTACAACAACTCATTTTTCAATTTTAGGTTTTTTGTTAATTTCATTTTCCGTTTTCATATGTGAAGTGGTTTTTTGCAAATAGCAGCCACCCACACTGAGAATGGGCCTGGCCAATTTCGGGGGCTGGTTCTGGCGCTTTTGGCAGACGCTGTTTTGCCTGCAGTAATTTCTTAATTAGCTTGCGAGCACAATGTGCTTATATATTATATAGTATGGGCTTTGTGTCTATATACCAGAGTTTTGGTAACACTTTTTGCTGGCCGTGGGTTATGCAGCAATATGGTGTGGTGGTGCATCATTTGGCGAAGCCAAGCGGCCGGGTACTTATTTTAATTGCAGCCTTTTTGGGTATGAAGTGGCGCAGCTTAGCGCACAGTTTCCCCATACTTATATTTCTGTAAGTCCGATTTAGGGATGGCAAATAGATAAATAAAAAAATATATTATTATTACTACTACTATTACTTTGACCATTACTCTTCTTGATTGGCGTTAAAACATAAACAATTTTAATGAATCTTAAACTTATGTAGAATATTAGAACAGTTAAATGAAAATGTAGAAACAATTAACAATCCATTATTGTTTTAAAGTTACTATGTTCATATTTTTTTTCCATTTATTCGAGTTCTGTTTACATCATACTCCCACTTTCCTTTTTATATCATCACTAATCCTTATAGATTTTTATGTTCAAGGCTTTGTACAGGAAAGCTGAGTTTTGACAGCTCTAACGACTCACATAAATGGAATTGGTCAATGTGTATCCCTCGACATGTTTTTTGCCTCACTTGCCATTATGTTTATCTATTTTTGTTGACAGTTCAATTAAGTACAATGGCCACAACAGTTAAATTGCGCTTAAAAAAAGGACTCGCACATACAAGGATTGCCATTTTTGTGGTTTGCTTTATTCCGTTTGCTTTGGAGTGTCAGTTCGGACATTATGCCTGTCGCTCTTTGTACTTTATTATCCATTTAGCACATTTATTTTTATTTCCCATTCGGCGCCTGCTGTTGTGGTTGCTGCCAGTGTCCTCGCATTATCCTTGTTCCCGTTTCAGTCGTTACGGCCGCTGGTCAGCCCGCAAATGTGGGCAATTTTTGCTCAACGCGATGTTCCTTTTTTATGGACTTTATTTTTTACCAGTTGTGTGGTGTGAGTGTGTGTTTTAGTGCGTAGTTGTCGAGGGGGTGATGGCGACTCCCCTCCTGCAATTCCAGTCACTATAATAGCCTCATCAGCGTTGCGTCTTTTTTATTGTAATGCCGCTTTTATTTGCGATTGAGGTGCTTTAATCAACTGACAGTTGTGTAGCTGAGGATGTTTTATGGTCCTAAATGGCAGATAGGGAAACAACGACAACTATATCAGTTCCAAATTGTCATCATTTTTACTTTTTTAATAATGTTCATCAACATTCATATCATTTTTCTACTGTCGAATAAAAAAGTATCACAAAACACAAATTATTAATTATGATTTTTAAAAAGGTTTATAAATATTAAGATTAATTTGGCTTTTTTAAATATTAGGCAAGCAATATGTAAATTTTTCTTTTATTCTAGATGGATAGTTTTTTATGTTACTTTGACAGGACTTAATTTATTTGCTTTTTTGTGGGTTATAAAAAGTTTATTTCTAAAAATTGCTATCTAAAGTTATATTTCATTTTTATTTTAAATTAGATATACAACTAAAAATAGAACTATGAACAGTAAAGTTTTCTTTTTGTTAGCACCTTATGATTTTTTGTAGTGCGCTGATCAACAAAATTTCCCAGCTCCTCCGAAATTTCAGCGTTTCAAGATGAGCCTAAGCCGTTTAACTAGTAATTACGGCGCACAGGCACTTACGGCCGGAATGGCATTAGTTTCCAATTGCAGCGCCGAATGGCGCTCACAATGGCATAATCAAATTCCATCTCATTACGCGCCATATTGTTGTACATTAATGCAATAACACAAACAATGTCTCGCATGGCGGGGACCTCAAATTTCACCCGACTCCCGGCCAAATCGAGTAGAAAAGTGCAAACCCGGCAAGTCGCTGGCTAATTACGTGCACTTTGCCACTCGAATTACAGCTCCTATCCACGGAGGCCACCGGAAGCGTCCTGTTTGCAAGGCGTCAACTGTCACACACTCGCAAACACTCGCTCTCAGCTAAATTCGAATCCAATTGAATAACAATAAAATTTGTACTGCGCTGTTTGGTTATTCGATGCCCGGCCATTGTGTGTTTTCCCCTGAAAGGAGTGTACCTACAAATTATGTAGGCCGTGACGATTGCGAGCATTGCATTGCGTAACAGGAAGTCAACAATGACGTACCAGGAGCAGTGCATCCATATTCACATCCATATCCACATCCAAAACCAACGGATGTGCGCAGGATACAGTGTGTAAATGGTTGTAAAACGCTTTTCAAATCGCACCTCCTGACCCGCTGGTTTGCTCCTGCTGTTGTTATTGTCGCCGGGCCGTTTCGCTATTTAATGTCATTTAGCCTGCGGCTAAAATCAGCGCTGTGCGAAGCCCGGCTCAGCCCACTCCGCTACACTGTTACAAAATATTATGTAAACGAATTAGAATTTATAATGTAGAAAAAGTAAAACTAAGAAAATAGTCTACATACTTTTTTTATCAATACTAACCAGTATCTTAAAAATTCTGTGTCGTTACATTATAATTCTTATTACATTATTACAGTCTTAAACAATAAATTTATGAATGAAATAGGTGAAATTTTCTTTTGAATATAGGTTTAAATAATAATCAATTCAGGAAATATTTATTGAAATTTTAAACGATTGATTTTTTTGCTTGATGCACACATATATGGGCATTCTGGCTAACATTTATGTCCGAACTTTACCATTCTCTAGATCGGCACAAC